GCGTAGCAATCAGTGCAAATGAGATCCTATGCAATTTGTCAAACTTGGCACCCTGACATTCCACCTGTGCTTAAATTGTACTAAACACATGAACAGATTGATCATCATTGCAGTTGTCTAAAGCCAAAAGATTTACAGAAACAGGAAGAGTCAGGAGAAAATATGCCTAGCATAATTCTTATTTTCATTGCTAATATCTGGAAAATACTTCAAAATATTTGGGGGGATGGTGGAGAGAGACTCACTGATTCAATGCAAATCCTGCATGGTTGCCTAGGCAACACCAGAATGCTTTCTTGCCTTCCGCTGCTGAGTCTGCAGCAAATAAAAGGTCATTTGACTATGCCAGGGGAAACGGCAGATATGAACCTAGTTAGAAGCTGCTAGGGGAATAGCATCCCATAACTATCCCTGAATATTCAGCTGCCATTTGTTTTATCTAAGTACTTTTGGGAGAGGGGGGAAATGGCTGCCTGGCTAGCCCAATGCAGTGTTTCTCGATCTTGGCAGCTTTAAGAGGCGTAGGGAATCCTGGGAGTTGAAGTCCAAGCTTCTTAAAACTGTCAAGGTTGAGAGACACCGGCCTGGTATGGGGATCCCTTGTCAGGTGAGGGCAAAGATTCTGTGCTTGAAACCAATTAGTTACTTCCCCTATAAATAATACTGAATCCTTTAATTGCATGGATGCAGTTCAACCCCTCCCCCGCATATTTTCCCACCATTGCGGCTCTCAATACATTTTGTTTGCTTAATCCAGATGGATTTTCTGTTCTCTGGCATGTCATTCTTTGAAATCCAGATGTCAGAGCTCCAGGCAGTTGTTTAACAGATTTGCTTCTCTGCCTAAGAAGATCATGTAATTTGCTCTATCTTCTTTATTGTTCTTTCACACGCGTGGGCATATTTAACTAAGACAGGCATGCAGGTTAATTAGTACCACCCCCAAATCAATGAATAAATAATATTAAAATAAAATAAAATAACAGGCTTTCAAAAATGCTAGTTCACATGAAAATCTTGAATGGGCACTTAATGTCATCCCTGTCCCTATCTCTCTCATCACCTTTCTTGAAAAAACCTCAAGAAAGTGGAAACAGGAGGTTGCATCTTTCCAACTTCCCTATGAGATCACTGACGGAGAATGAGCTTATGCCTCACGGTATGGTTGAACAGGGAACTAAATTTTTCCATTCAACATTCATTGCTTTTGCATAACTTTAAATTTTTATACCACTCATCTTCTAAAGAACTGTGATGTTACATTGCCTCCCTCCAGTAACTCTATGAGGTCTACTATGCTAAGAGGTCAAGGCTGGGTGACTCAAGTTCACTCAATAAAATTTTTCATTAATTTGGAGGGACTGATTCAAGTCTCTTATGATTCCAAGCAGGGAGAGAAAATCCTTCTGTAGCTTTTTCCTTTGACCTGGAAGAGGGGGGGTGGGGGGGAGGAATGTCATCTTCAAAAGTTAGCTAACTAGAAACTTGTGCAACAAAATGGAGGACATTAGGACTTGACAAGCTTTAACTCCATCTGACTAGTTTAGAGGACAGTCAACAGTCTAGCCCCGTGATGGCAAACCAGAGGTGGCATGCAGCAGACCCCTCTCTGCGGGCATGTGAGCCATCCCCCCAGCTCGGCTCTGCTGCGCATGTGTGTGCGTGCCTCCCACCGGTCAGCTGGTCTTCAGGTCTCTGCCGTGCATGCGTGGGGGGTGGGGCGCATGCAGGGGACACGTATGCATGTGTGGGCAGGGCGGGGTACATGCATGGCATGGGAATGGGGTGCATGCACGGGGGACCCGTGCACATTGCATTTGGGGGGGTTTGCACGCGCGCTTTGGGCACTCGGTGCTGAAAAGGTTAGCCATCACCGGTCTAGCCATTTAAGTCCTAGCCAGGCTCTATTGGAAGTCAGAAAAACACCTATAGCTTGTAAAGATCCGGCGTCATCCATTTTGTTAGTCAGCTAACTTTTGAAGATGTTCCCCCCCCCCCCCCCCCCCCCCCCGATTCAAGGGGAAAAGCTGCAGAAAGATTTTCTCTCCTTGCTTGGCTCCTCTACTCTTCAGCCTGGAATCAAGATAAGGGATAAAGATTAGACAGCAGAGGGGGAAAGGTTTAGTTTTAGCACCTAATTGAGTGGGGTGGGGGGAATCAATAAATCTGTCCCTCCCACTTGTTGTTGTTTATTTGTTGAACGAATGTGGTTTTCTAAAGGAGAGAGGGAGGAGGATAAGCAAGGAAAAGGTTTTCGGAAGCTCCTCCTGAAGCTGTCACCTTTTACGCAGGGCTAGCAGCTTCCCAATGGCTGGCTGATCGGCAACCAGCCAACTGGTGCAGAAACCTCTGAAAGGCTTTTATTTTGCCCCAGAAAGGCAAGGTTCCCCTTGGCAGGAGGAAGGGCAGGGGCAGAATTAGGAAAGACCTTGTTTCTCGCTGGCGAGACAGTCATCTGTGCAATGGCTGGCATGCGAGACACTCAAGGCACAAGAAATGGAGCATGGGATATCTCAGGGTGAGGGAGGCCTCAGGAAGCCTGAAGCAGATGGGCTTGTGCCTGCACTAGGCCTCCCAGGGATCTCCCCGCCCCTGAGCTCAACTTAATGACCCATGCATTCGTTTAACGCACATGTGTCAAACTCGATCGCGTCACATGACGTATCGTGACGTATCATGATGTTTTTTGCCTGGCCAAGCCGGGGTGGGCTTGGCCTGCATGTGCCGCATCCGGTCCATGGGCCACCAGTTTGACAGGCCTGGTTTAACAAAAGGAATGGAGAAATCAGGGGTGGCTGGTTATTACTTGAGGCAGTTCATTTAATATGGTCTCCAATTCCGACCTTAATCGGCAGGTTCCATTACAGTCATAACTTGAGGACTACAACCATTTATGTAGCTCATGGTTGAACTGTGAAGTCCTCGGTGCTCTTTGAGCTTGGTCTGCAAACAAACAACCAAGCTGAGAGAGCACCAAAGATTACACAACGATTAACAATATCTCACAGGGACATCTAACCTGGTGAACAGCCAGGCCTTAAGGGGCTTCTGAAAGGTTATCGTGGATGAAGCCAATCTAATCTTGGGAGGAATGATGTTCCAAAGAGCAGGTGCAATGAGAGAAAAGGTTTAAGGCCTCATTTAAGGAAGGTATTTCCTGGCAAAGCACTGAAAACTATGTGATATTATAACTGGTATTCTTCCAGATTTAGAAAAGCCTAGAATTAAACATTGGTATCTGATCCAGGAAGCTTTCAGTATTAGATTTAGGAGAATGGTGTATTTCCTGGAGGTACATAGTAACAAGCTTTTCTTGTTTATAGTAAGTAATGACTTTTGATTGTTTAACTTATTATCTAACCTTTAAAATTAAATGGTAAACATTCTCAAATTAGCATAAGAGATGCATAATTTAATGACACCTACCTTAACTAATATTTTGTTCCTCTTATCCAATGTACTTTTTAAATTGTACATGCTTTCAAAGATAACATTTCTCGCATGATATTTTTAAGAGAATGAAAAGAACAACATCTAGACAAAAATAAAATTCATTAAGAGACAAAACCCTTCACTGAGAGGACTCTGTGGGATCATATTTTCCAGATTTCATTTCCTTAGGTTGTACAACTAAAGAAAAAATTGTGCTGACTTTGGTGGGAAATGAAAGAAAATGAAGAAACTAAGCTTACAGTACGTTTAATGCAACTGTAAATTTAAAATATCTCTCTCAAACAATGCCCCAAAGAGGAAAACATGGCCCCAATATTGCCTCCCACCTTTCTCTGATTTCTTAATTCTACTGCCAAACCTGCTTCGATCTTCAAGAGCTTAAAAAATAAAACAGCAATAACAATGAAATATGTTATCTTCCCCAGCTGTAGAAATCGCCCTTCCTTTTTCTAACCACTACCCGTTTTTAAAAGCCAAGGCATGTAATTGTACAAACTGCTTAGGTAATACTGCCAAAGAGCTTGAAACGTTTTCCGGGATAAATATTTTTATTTCAATCCTATCTTCCCCAGTGTAGACTTAATAAATAAATAAACCTGACCAACGACAAAGCTTTGGGCCCTCCTTAGATAGAATCCTCATTCTCTTTTCTAATTTGTTTGACTAAAGATGAACAAAAGAATATACAGGAAATACATAGAACTTCCTCTATTTGTCTAAAAATGTATACCTGTGCATGCGCTCATCATAAATGCGGCTCCTCCAATTATAGTACAGATAGTCCTCAACTTAAAACAATCCATTTAGTGACCGTTCGAAGGCACTGAAAAGAGTGACGTGACCATTTTTCACACTTATGACCATTTGCAGCATCCTCGTGGTCACCTGATCAAAATTCAGAGAATGGCCTATGCACACAATATTGGAAGAATGAAAATACACCACCAGAAAGAGATTGTGCAGAACTGGATAGACTAACTCTAGAACTGAAAAATAAGGGGGAATCAGAATATTATGATACTTGGAATAAGTTTATCAATGTTGCAGAAGACAGGGGAAGGTCGGAACAAAAATAGTTAGGATAAATGGACCTAGATTGTGAATATTGTACTAATAATATGAATGTTAATGGTTTAGTAATATCTTTGTATGTATGGCAGAATGATGCCAGAACGGTTGCACTACATTTGTTATTTATAGTTGTAAACAATAAAAATATATTTATGATAGTTGAGGTGTTCTGGGGTCATGCGATCCCCTTTTGTGACCTGACAAGCAAAATCAATGGAGAAGCAAGATTCACTTAACAACTAGGTTACTAATTTAACAATTGCAGTGATTCACTTAACAAATGTGGCAAGGAAAGTCGTAAAATAGGGCAAAAACTAACTTAAAAAATGTCTCGCTTAGCAACATGAATTCTGGGCTCAATTGTGGTTGTAGATCGAGGACTACCTGTACTACAATCTTGCCCGCAGATATACAAACTTGACTCTTGATGACTGTTCAGATGGGTGGGGGCACAGAATTCGTTGACGTTTACTAACCAGTGTACAGAAGATGCATTGGCATTGTGCTATTGTTGTCATCTGCTCTACAGGATACTCCCCAAGGCAGAGTTTACACAAAACAAGAGGATCAAGCACCAAGTCCCAAGTAGGTCTGTATCTGGCTGTAGTCATTGCAGAATAATCTGAAAAGGGAAGGGAACAGTATATCAATTTTTAAAAAACTCTCAAAAATTTCACATTTCCTTTATTCTGAATATAGTAAAATGTTGTCCAAACAATTTTTCAAGCAGACATGAGCAGAATGAAGTTCACAGCCAACTTCCTTTTATTTGTCACTCTCAGTTTCCTGACTTTGTACTGCCCCTTTAAAAAAAAAGTCCAAGTATACTTTGATAAATTTAACACACATATTTTATTATTTCCCATCAGTCCTAAAATGTAATTGTTGCTGTTGATGTCAGTTTGTGGGCTTTGGTCTGGGCCTGTCCTACAGGATGACTAACTTTATTCAACACTGCGAAAGCTGGACCAAATGAATAAATTGCCCTAAATATATCTATTCACAAATCAATGGATGAAGTCAAGGGGAAACATACTTATTGCTTACTCTAAATGCCAGTTTCGTATCCTGGTTGTGCACCTGAACTGTTTTAACCAATCAGAATATTAATCACATCCATCCCAACACCATGAAGACCATCAATATTTCTGTTTTAAATAACATTTTGGATGTAAGCATTCAAAGAAGCTCCAATGCCTTTTTTCATATCACTCCAAGCCTCCAAGCATTACCCAATCGTTTTGTGATTCCTCTACTTGCTAAGGAAACAAGAACTATTATTCAATTCTTGGCCACCAAGAGGTATGAGGCTTGTTTTTTCATTACCACTGGCAACAACTAGATAGAAAACAAGAAAAGCGGGGAAGGTCAAGCAATCTTATTTTCTGGGGGTGTTGTGGCTCATTTCTTCTTGAATTTTGTTCCAAAGAAAAAAGGAAATAAAAAGTCATTGAAGAGATACTAGCTTCAACTTGAAAATCCACTGTGATTATGTGAAGTTCTACAAAAGTGTGTTGTGTTTGTACAGGAAGGAGAGGGATAGGGAGGGAAGAGAGAGAGGAACAGGGAATAATTATATGTATATTAAACCACAAGTTCTTAGTTTTCTCCTTCTCCTACTCCATAGTTATAGGCCTTAATTATCTGAGTTTGAGTTAAGGAGACACTAAAGCGCTAGCAAAAAGTATAGCAAGGATAACCATGGTGGAAATAAAGTAAACTTGGAGCTTTAAATGGGATATTGTATACATCTATTTGTCTTCTATTCATTCTTGACCTTATCCCTTTCCATTTTACATTTCTTAAGTAATCTATTCCTACTGCACTTCAGTTTATTTGTATATGGTGATCTTTTGCTTCTTTTTCAACTATTCTAGGCAATAGTCTATGTTCTATCTACAACTTTTCTTCCAAAATATGAAGGTCTTAAAATGTTCCTATTATAGTGAGATTATGTTTTCTAACAGGTCCTCATTTTTTCAACATTATGAAACCCCACATGTAAAATACATTTCTGTATTACAAAATCATACTGGAAACTGTGAATGTAATTTCTACTCAAATAATTACCCTTCATTAGAGGGTGAGTTACTGTAGCATTACCCAGTATGGTATGCTTATTAATGCTGAACTAGATATGGTAAAACGCAAATCGATTTCCCATTGAGTCACTGAGATTAATGGGCAACTTTCCCCTTGAAAATAATTGATATGAGAGTCAGATCACCAATTAACAAGTCTTATATTACAGAAATATAGGGCCTGAAAGTCTGCTAGGCCATCCCGCTGCCAGGGCAAGAAACCTCAGATCATCCTATATATATTTTTTTGTATAAAACCCTCCTGTGATGGAGTACCCATGGCTTCAAGAGGCAGGTTGTTCCACGGCTTAATAGTTATCACAATCAGGAAATTCCTTATTTCGAATTTGGATCTCTCTCGGTTAAGCTTCTATCCATTGGTTCTTGTTCTACCTTTGGGCACTATAGAGAATAAATCCACATCCGTTTCCCTATGACAGGGGTCTCCAACCCCAGGTTCGTAGACTGGCATCGGGTCGCGCACAGCATGCCAGCAACTGGGCCGCACAAACAAGTGAAGCTCCAGCCGCAGGATGCAAGCAGCATGCAAAACCACGCCCCCTCTGGTCCGGAGTATCCAGTCTGTGGTGCCCAAAAGGTTGGGCACCACCACTGCCTTATGACATTCTCTCAAGCATCAGAGGATTGCTAGTCTTTTCTTCTTCAGGCTAAGTATGCTTTTACTTTTAACTGATCTTCATAGGATTTAACCTCCAAGCCCCTTATATCTTAAAGGAGAATGTGGCTACGTTATACATATGTAGTTTTACAACTTATGGGATGCCACTGTATTTTCTATTTCATTACTATTACAGCTAAGCATAAAATGCACATAGGTTGCTGAAGAAAGGATATTTGTTGTTTGTCGGTAAGAAAAAAAAATAGGTAACAAAGAAATCTGTATACCTGACAATAGCCAAGAGGTAATGGAACACACAGTAATTTCAAATCTAGGGTTGTGTTATTTCCCGTTGAAAGTACTACAGCCTTAGCTTTGTGCATTGCCATGTAACTGCTAAGGGCAGATATTTTTTATTAAGAAAAAGAAGACTTGCCTTTTCCTTTTTCTATTGTCAAGGAAGGTCCATAGGAAGTAGCAAAACAAAACAAAAATTGATTTATGTCTTTCTCATATTTTCAAGACAGCGAGGAAAGCAAGGAACACTGTGTGGGCTTGTACTTGGAATTTTAAAATTATTTAAGAGCTGTTTCATTTCTTCTTGCTTGCTTGTCCACTCAAATCAATAATCTAGCTCTGAGGACCGCTCCTTTTTTTATAAGCAGAAGTTAATCTACTCTGCTATTACTCTGGCTTTTTGAACAGCTAGCTGTCCCTGGCTGCATATCCGAAGATAACTACTAACTAAACTAAATGTTGCAGGTATGCTACTCTAAAACCCGTTTTTCTGTTGTTAATTATAAATAGAGAATCCTGCAAAGGATGATCAAAAAAGTATCACAAGTAGTTTCAAGGAAAAACAAATGACAGGACAGTTAAACCAGGGGTCCCCAAACCTGACAACTTTAAGACTTGTGCACTTCAACTCCCAGAATTCTGGGAGTTCAAGTGCACAAATCTTAAAATTGCCAAGTTTGGAGACCTCTGAGTTAAACCTTCAATTAAGACACTCTGTTCTCTTTCCTACTGCAAGCTATCCCCTTCCAGAGAAGTTTTGCAAAAGAGAAACAGCATTTGAGTTAACTTTACACATGGCTGTCATTTTTATAATTAATGTGAGCCATCCCAGGGACAGTAGCTTTTTTAAAAAGGAGATAGAAACATAGAAAAGTGATACATAAATATTCCAATAACTCCCAAAACCAATGTAGAACTGCATGTCCTTAGAAATTAAATAGTAAAGTAAATTACCACTAGATTAATACTGCCATGCAAAAAGGGTGATTCAATAACATTTCTGATGCAAATTTGTGGTAAGCGTTTCAGAACTTTAGAATATAAATATTGTACTCTTTGTCTCTAGAATTAAACAACTGGTTCCTTATTTGGGAAAAGTTCAACCAAATCCACTTGCTGGTTATACTTCATGAGTAACTAATATATAAGTTCTACATGTTTATTTTTTCAGTCGCTGAATAAGAAAATATTGTTCGAGAGAGAAAATAGACTTCAGTATCTGTATTTATATACATATAAATTCAAGATTCAAAGTAGTTATCTATGTTGCATTACTAAGATTAAATAAATGAATTAAACTGAGGAAACATTAAGCCACTAACTCATAATCTACAAAACTCATACAGGGGAATTAAAGACAGGAAAGTAGATGGCCTTTAATAAACATATCCTCAGTAACAGTGTATATGCCTCCATCCCAGGCCTTTATCTACTGGAATACTGTGACTGTAATTCTATGCTTAATTAATTGGGAATAAGATTCTTTAGTGAAATGTCAAGTATCTGCCAATTAAGGCATCCATAGTGATAGTCAAAGACAACAGTGGGAGACATAAGTAGGAAATGGTATCTCACCCCCTTTTAACATGCACTGCACATATCACACACATATAAAATGAGGCAAATATATAAAAAGAGGCAAATCTTCCATCTTCTGTTTGTGCCACTATTTGATGCTGTTGACCATTACTATAGCCAAATTAACTAATGTGGGTGGAATGAATAGATAGATAGATAGATAGATAGATAGATAGATAGATAGATAGATAGAAACAGATAGATAGATAGATACAGATAGATACAGATAGATAAACAGAATAAATTGTAGTCTCTATGTTTCTCTATCCCTATTTTTGCTTGACTTTTGTCTCATTTTTCGCTAGTTATTTTTTTTAATGCTTGCTGATCTTTATTGAATCAACAGAGCTATATTTTTTGTTAGCTGAAATAAGTAGCATGTTTGCATGATTTGATCAGCATGCATGCATATAGATAGATAGATAGATAGATAGATAGATAGATAGATAGATAGATAGATAGATAGATAGATAGATAGATA